CCTATGCGCAGATACCCATACAATGGGTATTGTGGTCACGGTACACAATGGAAGGTAGCCGCGTGCTTTCGTAGCACTTTAAAAAAAAAATGCGTAGAGTGGATGACGTCGTATGTTTTGTTAGCTTGTAAAGATTACACCAGAGGGACATTAGTAAATATTTTTTAGGGTTTTCTCCCTTTAATTAATTTCAACAGAGTACTAAAAGCTTGACTTGTGTAACATTACCCTATTTGATGTCTTTAAATGACGCACGACTCGCTCCGCTGAAACGAATCGTCTCCCCTGCTAATGATGTCACAAGGAAGAAACAAGTAGAAGATGTATCGCTACTAAAACGTAACAAATACACATTTAAAATTGTGTTTGCCATCATGGAACACACGGGTGGGAGGGTAGGTCACTACCCTTTCTCCTTCTCATTTTGTTTACAACACGGATACAAAGAGAAAAAAAAAATATCGCGCCACCCTGATTGAGACATAAAATACAAAAAAAGCGACTTTCTTTATTTCACCTGTTTCACAGCTTGCTCCGCGGAAAAGCTACCTCGCTTATTATCTAACCGCCCATGTGCGTTGGGGTATAGCTATTGCCCTATGCTCAGATACCCATACAATGGGTATTGTGCTCACGGCACACAATAAAAGGCGGTCTCGTGCCTTCGTTGCACTTAAAAAATATATAGAGTGAATGACGCGTGTATGTTTTGCAAGCTTGTAAATATTATACCATAGTATTTTATCGGCTTAGGGAAAATAAAATTAATAAAATTAAACAAGACTTGTTGTGATTTGATTTTAGTTTCATTTGTGTGTGTGTGTGTGTGTGTGTGTGTATGTATATGTATGTGTATATGTGAGTCTCAAAAAAAAAAAGTGTAAAATGTCAACGCCAGGACAACAAGTCATAATCAAAATGGACTAATTCAATACATATCTATGAAAAGTAAAAAAATTATAACTTATTACAAGTATAAGTGCACAACCATTTTGATAAAAGCTTTTAAGCAAACCTTTCAGTAAATTTAATTGTAGGTACAGCTTTTCTTCTAAACGACATCAGTTGGATTAATATAAGCTAGACCCGATTTATTTCTCACTGATTTGCGCTAAAATTTTGATCATAGGAAAATGGTCTTATTTTAAGAGGTTTCAGTGGGGTAGTGATGACTTTAAAAAAATAATAACAGTGTATATAAATATAATATATACCATGCTGGTCATTATCTCACAAATCATAGGGCCGAGTATTAATAAGACAATTGGAAAAAAAAAAAAACAATTATAATCATAACAATCAAAATATTTTTCTAAGATTAACGCTGGTGTAACACATATATTACTTATTAAACCAAACTGCTAATGATCATTTTAATTAGCTATTTAGTCTGACAATTATTTTTAATTAAGACAGCACTTTTATGTTAATAAAATAAACCTAGTTCTGAACCTACTTAAAACAATGTAAACACTTAAACAAAGAAGTTTACAAAACTTGAGCTTTGAAACATAATCGACTTTTTGTTTACAAAATCAAAGACATAACCAAGGGTATTTAGTGTAATTTCTATGTTAAGCCATTGACATCCTAAATTACTTTTTAAATTGTTAATGATAATTGATTAATATACTCTTTGATGTCTGACCCTGGTCACTATTTTAGAAAGAAATCGCTGTTTTAAAAACACTAGGAAAACTTAAAACGTCGTGAGACGCGCGCAAAGCACGCGACATGTATTTTTAAATGTAAACAAACGCGCACGGACACTGTTCCATTGTCGTTATGAAATACTTCTGAACCTACATAAAACAATGTAAATACTTAAACAAAGACGTTTACAAAACTTGAGATTTGAAACTTAACCGACTTTTCGTTTACAAAGACATTACCAAGGGGGTTTAGTGTCATTTCTATGTTAAACCATTGGGTTGATCATAGGAAAATGGCCTTATTTTAAGAGGTTTCAGTGGGGTAGTGATGACTTTAAAAAAAAAATAAAAAAAAAATAAAAAATAAAAAAATATAATATATACTATGCTGGTCATTATCTCACAAGTCGTAGGGCTGAGTATTAATAAGACAATTGGGAAAAAAATTATAAGCATAACAATCAAAATATTTTTCTAAGATTAACGCTGGTGTAACACATATATTACTTATTAAACCAAACTGCTATTGATCAATTTAATTAGCTATTTAGTCTGACAATTATTTTTAATTAAGACAAAACTTTTATGTTAATAAAATAAACCTAGTTCTGAACCTACTTAAAACAATGTAAACACATAAACAAAGAAGTTTACAAAACTTGAGATTTGAAACATAATCGACTTTTTGTTTACAAAATCAAAGACATAACCAAGGGTATTTAGTGTAATTTCTATGTTAAACCATTGACATCCTAAATTACTTTTTAAATTGTTAATGATAATTGATTAATATACTCTTTGATGTCTGACCCTGGTCACTATTTTAGAAAGAAATCGCTGTTTTAAAAACACTAGGAAAACTTAAAACGTCGTGAGACGCGCGCAAAGCACGCGACATGTATTTTTAAATGTAAACAAACGCACACGGACACTGTTCCATTGTCGCTATGAAATACTTCTGAACCTACATAAAACAATGTAAATACTTAAACAAAGACGTTTACAAAACTTGAGATTTGAAACTTAACCGACTTTTTGTTTATAAAGACATCACCAAGGGTATTTAGTGTCATTTCTATGTTAAACCATTGGGATCCTAAATTTACGGGACGCTACTCGTGGTTGTTAACAAGACTGTTCTAGAAAAATTCGACTCTCCCTTCGTTTCTATATTAGTTTTATTTAGTAAAGAGATAACTGTGCCCCTGACAATTATTCTGACCAAATCAATAGGAACTTATATAGTCATGAATGAAGGGGCAGCGTGGTAGAACTTACGACTGCTAACCCAAAAGTCCCGAGTTCGAATCCAGGTTCAAAGACAGTAGACTGTCTCCGAGTCTACCCAACTCTGATGGGTACCTAACTTACGTTAGGGAAAGTAAGGCGGTTGGACATAGTGATGAACACACTATCACTTCATATGCCGAGATCACAGAAAGAAAAAAAAAATATTTGTTTATCTTCTATATTAATATTTTTTAGAAAATTATAAAAATATAAACAAAATATATTTAATTATATATATAAGTGGTCGTCAAAATGATGGTTATAGAACCTTAAAGTTAAAAGGTGGTTAAAAAAAAAAAAAAAAACAATGAAAACGTTGTGATTACAACATATGTAAATATTAAAAACCAACAAAGCAAACAGCCACAACAAATAAAGCAATCACACTTAACATAATTAACACGACTAGACAAAAAACAGAGGACAAAAACAGACTGATAGTAAATAGTAACGGCTATTTATAGATCAACTGTATGAGAAATATGGCCTATTGTAAAGCAAGCCTAGCTGAATAAATTATTTTTAATGACTATTTAAACATATCTTTTCAAAAAAAAATCGATACTCTATTGTTTGTCGTCGCGGCCGTAAAGGAGCGTCACGGAAGACAATAGGAGGAGGGGAACACCTGCTCCAGCTGGAGTATTTTACTATATAACATGTCTGCTCTGGCTGCTCAATATTTTACTATATAAACATGTCTGCACAAATGATACCCAAAGGGGACCTACTATACTACTCAAGTAATCCTAATCTAGACAAAAATTCATATTTCAACATTTCTTGTTAAATCAGATTATTGTTAACAGGATAACGTTTAATCCCTAGGAAACAGTCTTTTTGAAAATATTTAAAAAAAAATTATCTGCTGAAAGTGTGTATGGTAGGTGGGCTTAGAGTAAGCTGTGAGTTGCAACCCCCTTGGGAGCTTTCTGGGGTTCGCCAACTGGTAGACTAAACCAAAGAAAACAAAATCAACAAATAGAATAGAGAAGCCACAATGCGTACTGTGCAAAGTTGTACTCAGTCATGAGTCTATGAAACCTTCAAACTAAAGCGTCATTTGAGACGAGGCGTTCGGAACACACAAAAAAATATATGAGTTCTTTGATCAAACTGGAAGTTCGCTGGCTGACAAATGTAAATTTTTGAATTGAAAGATGAAACGAAGTTGTTCTTAAAAGTGCAAGGGAAACAAGACCTTTTGATATATTTTTAACGACAAAGAGTGGTTAGAGAGAGTTGCATACCTAGCAGATATACTCGAACAGCAAAATACGCTTATCTTGAAGCTTCAGGGAAAAGAAACGAATAGTATCTTTATTCATGATGATCTCGGGGCATTTTTATCAAAGCTGCAAGTTTAGTGAAGAAAAAAATAAATATTGAAAATATTGCCGTGTTTGAAAAACACTGATTGTGAGATAAAAAAGAGAATATTTCTGGGCATCTTGAACCTCTTGAAAACGAACTGCGGCGTTGTTTTGCTTATCTGAAAGTAGAAGAATCTGCATTGAAACGTTACCCATGCTCTTTTTCCCTTGATGTTGCCAGCATTGCCAATGAATTACAAGATGCGTTCTTGGATTTTCGGAATGATTCCTCGGTACATACTGTGTTTAATTAAAACCTGGTCAGACAATTTTGGTCTAGTATGCACCATTCATACCTAGATCTGATATTCATTGCGTTTCTAGTTTTAGTTCCTTTTGTCTATATATCTTTGCGATAGTGGATTTTCAACACGTCTCCAATTAAAAAAAATAAGAAAATAAATTTAGTTCTAATGTTGAGAATGACATGAGGTTGGCGTTAACATAAACACAACCTCTAATTTTCAGGCTAGTAAATAATATTAGCATGCAATTTCACCCATTATATTAAAACAGTTATCAAAAACAATTAAAATTATGTTAGTCAATTTTATTTTGGTGTTTATTAATTTTCTTACTAATTTCGACTTTTTAATTCTATGGTGGTCGCGGGTCACTTTTTTATAAAAAGGGGTCGCCACGTTTTCCACGGTTTTTATCACGTGACCGTGTCCGTATCACCTAGGTGTGCAGAACCTCACCGTTCACCTGCCCAGCGACTCTCACGTCCCGCAGAAAGAGACCACCTACATGTGCCAGATCTTCGACCTGGACAGCTTGATCACACCTGGGGATTATCACATGATCGCCGTAGAGCCGGTGATTGACAACGTTTTTGTGGTGCACCACATGGTCTTGTTCGGGTGTACAGGTAATTACACGTATAATTACCGGTATAATGTATATATAATTGCAGGTAGAAATGTACAGGTAATCACAGGTAGAGATGTACAAGCAGGTACAGGTAAAATGCAAAGGCAGTTGCAGGTAGAAATGTACAGGTATAGGTAGATCTGTACAATAAAACATGTAAAAATGTACAGATAATCACAGGTACAAATGTACAGATAATCACAAGTAGAAATGCACATGTAATTACAGGTAGAAATGTACATGTAATTACAGGTAGAAATGCACGTGTAATAAAACGTAGAAATGGACAGGTAATCACAGGTAAAACGTTCAGATAATAACAGAAATGTACAAATAGCTTCAGGTAAAATGCAGAGGCAGTTGCTAATAGAAATCAACTAGTAAAATATAGGTATATCTAGAGGTAGAAAAATAAATGTAACTACAAGTATAAAATGTAAAGGCAATCAATGGTATAAATATAATGGTAACTGCACTTAGAAATTTAATGTTACTACATTTCGTAAAGTAAATTTAATTACTGGTAGAAGTATAAAGTTAATTGCAGGTAATAACACAATGTAAAGGTAATTACTGGTAATAATGTAAATACTGTATAGTTAAGAGTAGAAACGTAAAAAGTAATCACATGCGGGATTAAAGAATTTAATTACCTGCATCTATTTTATAACATCATAAGATAAAGCAGAAGCGACCAACTCGACATTCGAGTGCGGCATGGTGCCCTCCAGTATCTGCCAGGATTTGCTCAGCATCTGGACCGTGGGTCTGTTCGGGGACTGCAGCCACCCCAGTGCAGGGGTCAGGATAGGGGTCAACGGGTACAAGAGGATCGCCTTACAGGTGGGGTTTTCGTAGATGAAATGTAAAAAACTTCATCTTAGACACATATTTTAATTTTCATCACTTAAAAAAAATTAACCGGGAGTGATCTCTCCTAAACTTTCGCGAATATTCTTATATAACACTACCGGGGGATGGCAATCCGGGATATATACATGATTTTCAATCAATTTTTGATTAATTAAACTTTAACTAAAACTTTTAAAATAGAATAGAAACTCGTAGAAAAAAAATTGCGCACCAAGTAAACGCCAGACAATATGTGTATAATAGATCGGAATATTATTAGTACTTTATTAATTCACATGCGTTTTTGAGATATCAGAAATCACGAAAATTACTACTTCCGGTCAATGGAAATAACTCAAAATTTAAAAGAAGGCAGATAATTAGCTCTTTTACTTACAGGTGAAATTTCATTAATCTATCTTAAACAGTAATCAATCTATAGGCTTTTGAAAAATTAAAAGTATATTAAGTTCCACTCATATATTACATAACATAAGGTCGTCATTTTGACACATTATATAGTTATATACCGTTGAGTATGGAGGTAGTATAAAACAGTTTTAATCACAATATAAGTCCTCTCAATAGTTCATAATGACAGATGTTAGTAGTGACTTCTGTTATATATTAACACGTTTTTCTTAACTCAGCTTCGTGTTTGTTTGTTTGTTTGGATGTTTGTTGTTAAAATTGACATCGAAAATTAGCCCACTTCTGATTGCTCTAGAGATCTGAAATTTGGCATGTAGGCTACTTTCGCCTAACAATTTCAGATGCAATCATAAAAACTAGCAATTAGAGACCGTAATTAGCTTAATTTAATTACGCCCCAAGGACCATAAAATTGAGGACATGATTTCTAAAGATACCGACAAGACTGGAGGCCTATTGACACAGTTACTTCGGCCCCAATCGATGTGAGCGCGCTGGCCGTGATCGTATAGCGGTTAGTACTTCGCGTTGTGGCCGCGACAACCCAGGTTCGAATCCTGGTCGCTCAAGATTTTTAGTCCGTGTATTTATAAACACTTAGTTAAGTCATACTTAATCAAGTCATTAGATTAAGTAGAAAATAAACTATATAAAAAACTTTTTTAAAAACCACGTTTTTCATGTGTAGCAACGGACTAAAAAGGAGAAAATAAAATACTAAAAAAAAAAACTTTTTAAAAAACCACGTTTTTCTTGTGGACTAAAAAGTAGAAAATAAATTTTCATACATTTGATGACAAAAAACGTGGGTCGGGCAGATGGGTCGGGAAATTTGATGGTGAACGTACTCACGTTTTTTGTCATCAAATGTATGAAAATTTATTTTCTACTTTTTAGTCCACAAGAAAAACGTGGTTTTTTAAAAAGTTTTTTTTAAAGTATTTTATTTTAAAAATATTATTATGTAGTAATCAAATTGTTTAGTGCCTTCTAAAGGTGGGAGTGGGGGGAGTCGTAGAAACGTTATTTAATACTTTATAAAATGTTATGTTGCAGTAAAGGATTGGGGAGCTGGTAAAAATGTTACAATTTTGTGGTTACGCCATTTTACGTTTGCCCGTTTAATGTATGCGCGTGTAATGCATGCCCTTTTTATATATGCCCGTTTTATGTATGTCAGTTGTAAGTAACAAACTGCACTAGGCCCAGTGATCTGTTTAACCAACGTTCACATATTCAAGAGACTGTCAGCAAATCTTTGTCTTTTTGATTTTCTACTTAAACGATGGTCAACTTGCCAATAGTTTATCTCTTTAGCTCAGTTTAGCTTGTACAGGTTAGACCTGACCTTGACCTTGATTAAAAAAGTTTAACGAATTGTTTGACACTTCTGGCAGGTCCACTGGAACAACCCGGAAAAAATCTCCAGCTGGACGGACAACTCGGGGTTGAGGCTATTCTACACACCCAACAGGTGAGGGGTTCTGTCAGGGTTAGGGAAGTGCAGAGGTGAGGGGTTCTGTCGGGGCTAGTGATGTACCAAGGTGAGGGGTTCTGTCAGGGTTAGACACGTATCGAGGTTAGGAGTTCTGTCAGGGTTAGGGACATACGAAAGTGAGATGTACATGACAGGAAGTCTTTCGGGGTCGCTTTGGTTGTGGGTTCAGATGATGTGTGGCGGGGTTCGGTGGTTTAAGTTATGATATGCTTAAATGTGTGATGTTGAAAAAGGTTACGAAATATGTTTTAATATGTTCTGTTGAAGACGGGCTTCGTAATGTTGTAATGGCTTAACTGGTAAGATCGAGTAGGAATGTTTTGGATTTCAGTTAATTTGGATTGTTATTGTACAAAGATTTTTAAAAATCTTTCTGAACAGAAAGTAGATTAACATATTTATTTATTTAGTTGTCAAATTTATACTGCATTTACTAAAGACAAGATAATTCTAAAAAAATATTTTACAGATCTAAGCCAAAGCATGCTGTTTTTTTAGTTATTTATTACCCATAAATACATTCAAATATTACAAAAGTGATTTTTTTTAACTTTAATTACTTTGTTTTGGGTTGGGGAAAGACTAATTACATAATTAGAGTGGATTGATCAAGTGCAATGTGGTAAGTAAAGCACAGATATTTTAAAAAACTGCCTTTTATTTATTTTATACACTGAACGTACTGTTTACTAATTATTATTTTTAATCAATAACAGTTTAGAAGCCAGTTCCTAAATGTCCTCTATGTTTACTTCTATCTTCCGTTTGCGTGTAAGCTTGGGGTATCATAGTCGTTCACTAAAAAAAATCAGGCGCGTCCGCCGGCGCCCCTGCAGGTTTTGATTTGGCGCCCTATGCTATCCTGTGAGCGTTATGGTGCATAATTTCGTTTTAAACAAGAAAGGCTACTATATTCTTTAACGGGAGTCCTCCGGCGTTAGTTTAAGTAAGTGCAAAAGACTATGAATAATTTTGGGTACTAAGGTCGTTTACAAAGCTGAATCAGGCGGTTCCGCCGGTGCCACAGCATGGTGCGATTTGGCGCCAAGGGCTAGATTGAGAGCACTTTGCGTTTATGTTTGCATTTAAGTTTGTGTTTATGTTTGCGTTTATTTGCAGTATTTTGAGTTATTGTTTGTGTTTAGGTTTGCGTTTATGTTTTCTTTGTGTTTAGATTTGGGTTTGAGTTTGGATTTGGGTTTGTTTTCGATTTTTCTTTTGTTTGTGTTTGTGTTTTCTTTGTGTTTGTTTTTGAGTTTGTGGTTGGGTTTGTGTTTCCGTTTGTGTTTGCGTTTGTGTTATGTTTGCGTATTTTTGTGTGTTTTGGTTGGTTGGGGTTAGGGTTAATTTGAAAAGTAATACATTTCCGAAATCCGGGCAATGCCAGAAATATGCTGATTACTAAACAAACAAGTCATGTTCCTTTACAGATAGGTTTTTCACTGGGCCTGTCCGGGACGGCTAGTATATTTATATATTGAACTTTCCCTTCGAGAGTCCAAACAGTCTGATGCCATTTCCCCATGTTTGACATCAGCTGCCTCGTCATAGATATGACTGACACCCCCCCTCCCCGTGTTTCAGGAGAACCTATGACGCCGGCATCCTGCTGATCGGCTCCAACACATTCGAGCTGCCCCCAAGACAGGCGTCTGTGAGCGTTAAAAGCACGTGCACGAAGGGCTGCACCAGCCAATCGTTCCAGGGACCGATTCACTTGACCAAGGCCTGGAACCACATGCATTACGCTGGTATGTTTATCTTCTTCTTCTTAAGTTAGTACCATTTAAACTGTGTCTGCTAGATTGATGAAATTTCATATATAAATATTATATCAAATTTGTTGATCCGTATCAACTTTGCAGCGATTTCCGATAACCGGAAGTGGAATATTTTTTCTACTTTAAATTTTTTCAAAAGCCTATAACTTGAGTACTATTTCAGATAGATTAATGAAACTTCACATATAAGTAAACGATATAATTATCTGACTTTTATCAAATTTTGAGTAATTTCCGTTGACTTGAAGTAGTAGCTATTTCAGATTTCTAAAAAAAAAAACGCATGTGAATTTATAAAGTACTAACAATATCCCGCACTATTACGCACATTTTTTGGCGTTCACTTGGTGTGCATTTCTTTTTTCTACGAGATTCTATTGTATTATAAAAAGTTAAAGTAATTAAAAACGGATTAAAAATCATGTCTATATCCAGAGTTGCCATACCCCGTAGTGTTATATAAGAATATTCGGGAAAATTTAGGGGAGATCACTCCCGGTTTAATTTATATTAGGTGTCCAGATGAATATACAGTTGTTTAGGAACGACACAGCCCTGATGTTTCTAACTGATGACCCGGAGTACAGTTACGATAGTCCCCAAGTCTACTCGTTGTGAGTACTTGATGTATGCTTTATGCAGAGGCGTAGCGAACCCTCCCGGTACAATCTTTCCATATATTTTATGTTCATAATTCAAAACTGCGGCTAAAATGAGATTTTAATTTTTTTACAACCCATTTTGGCACCCCTAGGTTTGACGCCAGGGGACATATGTACCCCCCCCCCAGCCCACCCCCCTTTCGCTTCGCCTCTGGCTTTATGTGAACATTGAAGACTTGACATTTCGGAATCTATACTTTTTTATTATACGCTAGAAGGAAGAGAGTTTGCTTTCGTTTTAGTTTATTCGTACCCAAACACTTTTTGATCGAGACTTGCCTTTTGGGATTATGGAAGTTAATGCAGAGCCGTTTGGGATAGCTGTACATGGTATGCCCTTGACAGAATTGCAAAATGATGATTTTTTAATGACCGGGGTGAAAAGTCACACCAAAGAAAAATGTGACTTTTCACCCCATGGCCTGTGACATTTTACCCCAGAAGAGGGTTGTCATACAAAATGATCGAAACTTTCAAATCAATTTCTCAGAAGTAAAAACAATCAATCCAGACTGATGTTATTATGGCTTGAGAAAACAAACATTGCATGAAAACACGAAAAGTAATTGAAGATGCAACATACTTACAGGATTCCGTTGATTAAATTTCACACTTTGTCAATAAAAACAATAAAAACTCAGTTCCGGTTCAGAGAGTTAAAACAGGAAGTGAACTCCATACAGGGTAAACGACTAAAAACTATAATTTTTGAAAAATTAGTGTTCTTCAAGGCAAAAACTTGCTGTGACTTTTGACCCCTGTGACTTTTTACCCACTCCTCCTCTACCCATTAGAGCTGGGTGGACTTACGGACGTTTACATATTTGAACCCGGATTCGAACTCGAGATTTCGGGTTAGCAAAATGCTCTATTATATGACTAAGCCTTCCCTAGCATCAAAGCATTATTTTATCTTTCCCCTCTTACTGCTGTCTTTCATTATCGAGACTCACACGTCATAATTTCACCACACGTATAATCACCACACTTATAATCAGCACAAGTTATAATCACAACACGTTATAATTTCCCACATACTATGTCCAGTTTTATCAAAGTAATTATCATCTCCCCTAGCACCGACAACCCCGTCATTCTCCTCCCAGGGGACGAAATCGTGACCACCTGCACCTACACCACGGCCAAGTTAGACCACTCTGTTTTACAAGGGGAGGCAACATCCGAGGAGATGTGCTTCGGCTTTCTCAGTTACTACCCTAAAGAGAACGTGAACAATCGGTTATGTACCACTGGAGGCCCTGATTTCAGGTACATACGTCATTTCCGGTCTAATGCTTAGTGCTGCTTGCTGGTGCCATTGCCTGACAGATGTTGTTAACAATGATGTATTGCTAGGGTTGATTTTGGCCAGTTTAGTTTAGCGTTTACTTGCTTTAAATTTTTTCTTTAAATTTACTTTAGCTTTTGCTTGACTTTAACTTTTGTTAATTTACTTTGGTTTTTGCTGATTTTAAAATTAGTCAATTTACTTTAATTTTTTTTCTTGATTATAATTTTTTTTCAGATGTACTTTAGATTTGCTTTCTTTTAAATTTCTAGAAAATCACTAAGCGTTTGCTTGCTTGAAAATTTTGTCAAATTTTATTGTTTGTTTGCCAGGGTAATTTTGTAATGTAATAGTATTGTAATGCAAGCCGTTCATTTTTGTGTGTGAGCTTATTTCAACGCATATATTGTTTGAGTGGCATAGTGCTGACCACACTATCTCCCCATATGCCGAGGGCACAGAAACAAGTGAACTCTACTTCACTCGCCCCATAGACCGTCACGTTTGAAAGGGAAACTTTTTTTTTGTTTGAGTAACCCTTTCTTTCACACTCAACTGTTGATGTTGCTGAGGGAGTAAAGAGTTCACTTGTTACTTTTACCTCAGCATAGGAATAGGAGTGTGTCATCATCATTCACTAACCAGTGTTAATGTCAATACCCAATGAGTTGGGTGATCTCTGGGGCGTATGAAAGCTTTTCACATGGGAACTGAGCCATTGATGAGCGACTGTGTGCTCTACCACTGCACCATACCGTACCTCATTGTTTATTATGCCATGTTTATTATTAACTAGATAAAGTATTTATAGTATAATAAACAACGTACTGCTTGTTAAAAAAACATAAACCAATCAGTTTTTTACAAGTTTCTTTATGAAGTAAGGAGTTATTTTAAAACTCCCGAAGCTTAAAGTGTTTGTATTTTGACGATTCTAATCTTTCAAAATAATTTAACAAAAATTAAGTTCCTAGTTCGTTTAATATTTGAAATGGAAAATATGATAAAACTGGCCTTTATGTGGGTTAACCAACTGTATTTGGTCCAACAAACGTAATAATTTAATAAAGAAAGCATAGGCAGATTCTAACATTTGAGTGTCATACCGACACTCATGAAAATGTTTTTTTTTAGCTACTGTGACCAGGCCCAGTGGGTAGGACGAGGATGTCCAAACTGGCACGACTTCTACTCGGCGGACGTCATCAAGTCCTCGGAGCTGTACCAGGGGCTGGTGGCCAACTGCAAGCCGTTCACGCCATGCCTGCAGGAGTGTGTCCAGTTCATCGTGCAGGCGACACAGTCCAGTGCCTGTCTACAGGGAGATAACTTTAAGTTCATAAAGGTAGATAATCACATGCGTTGTATAAACAAAATAAAGGTAGATAACCCAGGCGTTTAATAAACAAAATAAAGGTAGATAACCACAGACGTTATATTAAAAAAATAGATGTAGATAAACACAGATGTAGTATAAACAACACAAAGGTAGATAACTACAGACGATATATAAACACTACCTATATAATACGCTTGCATTTGCTATTGTGGTTTAAGTCCTGTTAGTATTGCAATACCCTATTTATTTTATGATATAACACACTAGACTACCCGTTATCCTTGGATAACTACGGGTTTAAAGGATCATCCATAAACGATATCACGTTTGTTTGTCGATTTTCATCTTTCCCCTCCCCTTGTCCCCTGCCACACAGTAACAAAAAGAAAACACAGATAAAAAGACGTCACAGCTCAGACAACATGGTTTTGTCTTTTAAAACACCGATTTCGGCTGAGAATGGGTATGACCACACTTTTCATTCGTATGATGAGGTCACTGTAACAGGTGACTTCTACTTCACCTGTCCCGTGTTCTGCAATGTTCCGAAAGGCAGCTTTATTATTCACATCTTAAAAGAAGTTACTCCTCAGCTTACATGTTTTTATCTTTTAAAAACATCGATTTCTTTCTATAATATTTTCTGAGCTCGAACCTCATTTGAATAATAAATTAATACTTTTTTAACACTTACGTCAAACTAATAATAATGAATTAGAACCATCTGCGTGTGCTGGGATTTCCCACTGTGGATTAAAAATTAAAAACATTTTTTTTTAAAAGTTGATATTGACAAGATTTGTCTCAAACCCTTACCACCTGCACTATCATCTCAGCGAGCTGGGAACCACGATTAGTTGCAAATCTACTGGGTTTATTTACCTAGAGCCAGCGTAAAGTTAAATTGCGCGAAAATTATTTTATATTAAATTATATCCTAATTAAGCCAATTTCATTTGCTAAACAAACAACGATTTATATAAAATAATTAAGGCCTGAAATAGTTTAGTATAGAAAATCATAATTGGCCTAGATTCTAGATCAAGAATGTAGACAGAGCTAGATCTACAATCTACGGCTAGGTAGTCTAGTTTATCCGTAGATATCGATAAATGCCTTGATCTGTGACGCTAAAAAGCAAAGATTTATATAAAATATTTAAGGACTAATAAACAAACTAAATTAATTATTGCGTTTTTATTCTTGTTTTTTTTTTTTTTTTTCTAATTAAATAGGTCTATCTAATTTTGGTTTGGCCTATCGGTAGATCTAAATAAATTTGTTGTATACTCAAATTAGAAGAAATGTTAAGCATATCCTATTGAAAATTGATAATATGTTAGAACCTAATAAAAATAGCAAACAGATGTATCGTTAAAGCTAAAGCTATAGCCGACGGAAAATAAAAATGTAGCTTTATAATGCGTTAAACTTTTGAATGGGCAACATGGTCTTCCATGGAAGCCGCCATGTTTGTTGTGAAAATAAGTAGCTAAATCAAGTGACGTCACCAAGCCGGCAAAAGGTTTTAATTTTTGTGAATACAAATTCTTCATTCTGAACTTTTATAATTAAAGTCGTGTCTCTACAAATGAATATATCAATAAATTAATTAAATTCTATAAATAAATTTGTGTATAACAGTTTGGGGAAAAAAACATTATTCTCTATATAAATACGTATTTTACAGTTCTATACATAATGCAGATGCTCTCATCGAACGGAATAGATAAACAAATAAATATCACACTTGTAAACATAGGAGACTTTAAAAGTATATAGATAGATAGAAAATGCTTTCATTAACCCAGTCAATTGTAAACCGAGTTCGAATCCCGGAATCGACTGTATGACGTCTCTGACTCCACACAGATTTGATATGTACCTGATTCACGTTTGGGAAAGTAAAGAATAGTCCTGACCACATTATCCTTCCTTATGCCCAGGTCACTAATACAGGTGAACTCTACTTCACCTGTCCCATGGACCATAAGACTCGAAATTGTACTTTATGTTGTTTATTCTAACCCAGCCAATTCCTTCACCTAAACTAAACGCTCATTTTGTTTACGGTTAACGCTTTTATTATTTTATAAAATGTATAACTGCCACTCTTCTAATGTTGACCTTATAGTAATCGGTAATATATAAAAAAATATTGATTATTTATATTCCAGAGAAAAATACTCACCACAACAGCAGAGGGCCGTAATATCATGGCCCTGATGGCCTCATGCCCTGTCGAAGTCTATCTGGCCACCCACCCAGCGACCAACACCTTGACCACCACACCCACCAGTGAGGGTGGTGTGGACGCCGCTCACCCCGTCAGTGCCGGAGGTCTGATGGTCATCTTGTTGCCAGCTCTGGTACTCCTGCTGGGAATAAACTAAAAACCGTCGTGTCATTTCCGGTCATTTTTGGCCACCCGTATTTTGTTTTAAGTGTTTGGGTGAGGGTCGACCAATAGGGACCGAAACACACCACTGGACAATCGTGTTATTAACAACTTGTCGACTCAAACTCTCTGACATATCATTAGGCCTAATTAATTATGAAATTAACCTTTAGTAGTTATATTTTAATTTTCTTTTCAACAACTAATAAATAGGTTACTTATGTCACTACCTTACTTAACCAATTCTAATTGTTACTAGAGGGTGTATTTTTTTTTAAAGAAATTTTTTTTAGTAATTAATATTTTTTAGATTAAAAGCATTGATAAACGTTTTAATAAAATAAACACCTGTATGTGATCTTAATTATCGATTAGCTTCAGGACACACATATACCTGTGTACTTTTACTATTTGTGCTCCTGCTTGACATGAATTTTCGCTGCACTTTGTTAATAGTTGGCACATGATTGATTCCAGTTTGTACATAAAGTCAATTGTTTTTGTGCATAGAGTACATAGTGTTTAGAAATAGAGTGCATTGTTTATGTACATAAAAATCTTACCATCCACACGCAATCCACCATCCATTCACAATCCACTGTCCGTCTTCTGCACTCAATACACCATTCACATACAATACACCATTCACACACATTACACCATTCACACACAATACACCTCCCACACACAATCCAATATCCACACACAATCCACCATCCACAACCAATGCACCATCAACACTAAATCCCCCATCAACACACAATCCAATATCCACACACAATCCACCATCCACAACCAATGCACCATCAACACTAAATCCCCCATCAACACACAATCCAATATCCACACACAATCCACCATCCACAACCAATGCACCATCAACACTAAATCCCCCATCAACACACAATCCAATATCCACACACAATCCACCATCCACAACCAATGCACCATCAACACTAAATCCCCCATCAACACACAATCCAATATCCACACACAATCCACCATCCACAACCAATGCACCATCAACACACAATCCATCATCCACACACTATCCACCATCCACACACTATCCACCATCCACACACAATCCACCATCCTCACACAATCCACCATCCATACACAGTCCACCATCCACACACAATCAAAATTCCACACACAATCCACCATCCATACACAGTCCATCATCCAGACCAAATCCACCATACTCACACAATCCACCATCCACACAAAATCCACCATCCACGCACAATCCACCATTACCTACTACCCTATCGTCTATACGCCGATGATTGTAATTTCAAGTTGTGATATTTTTCAAGTATGTATTTCACGTTCTCTGTTTCACAATATATACCTACCTTTATATTTTATAACACAACACACAGAAAAGGGAGACTGCTGCATAAAGTTTTAACAGTAATTTTGCAGTTAATTCCCTGTAAAAGTTTTACTTTTTCACAATATGTATAAATAAATTGCTATTTTATACAACACACTGAATTATTTACGTTTTTAATATTATCAACTAGCGATGTGCTGAATTTATTTCAGGCATCTCTTCGATGAGGTATGGGGAGGGGAGAGGAACGAAGTCAAACACCCTATCCTCAAATGAATTTACCTAGAAAATATATACTTAAATTAAACTCGTGTCCGATCATCGGATTTTTCTTTTTGGATTTCAGTGGCGTAGCCCATCAGTTGTGTACATTAGTAGACTGGGGGTCCTCACCCCATGGGCGTATGTAGGAGTGCGGCAAGTTCAGATTTGAGGCAATACAAATATATATATATATATATATATATATATATATATATATATATATATATATATATATATATATATATATATATATATATATATATATAAAAGTAAATAAATAAATAAATAAATAAATAATATATATATATATATATATATATATATATATATATATATATATATATATATATATATATATATTTATATTTATTTATTTATTTATTTATTTATTTATTTTTTTTTTTTTTTTTTTTTTTTTTATTTTTTTTTTTTTTTTTTTTTTTTTTTTTTTTTTTATTTTTTTTTTTTTTCGCTGCATAGTCGTGCTTTACTGTGATGTTTATTTATTTTATTTATAATGCGGACTGTTTGCAATTTATTTTACAAATTATTTCGCTCTTTTTCTAAAAATTAACAAATTTTCAAAAATAATTTGTACTATACCTTTAAAACATAATGCTAGTTCATTAAAAAAAATTCATGAAAAAACGTTTTAATTATGTAATAATGCTGTAAAAGTAGAAAATAAATTATACACTACTATTAAAATAACTGTTAAGAAAAGTGTGGGTCACATAGTACCTATTAGAAACCTTTACTAATATTTAGGAATAGACCCACGCTTTTCTTTATAATTATTTAAATAGTAGTAATAATTTATTATAACACAAAAGCTTGTTATTAAAACTTTTTTATTAAGTTTATTTTTAGTACTTATTGAACGTGATGACGCATGTATACTTGTGCGGAATATTTGGGTAAGACTGCCTACTTATTTGGTAAAAAAAATTAATGAATTCATAACAAATTAATTAGGTAGCCAATTAAGTCAAATTTAATGTCATGTTGCATTGTCTTCATGTCTTCACGTACCAACTGCGAACCGTATCTGTCACTTAGAAGTGCTTGTAATTTCGCTCGGCCGTTTCGATCTAAACAGACGACAGACAGCCTGTTGACAGAGACAGTGAGTTAAATAAAAGCTAGTAATAAAAGCTTGTAATAAAAGCTTGTAAATATATGCGATTATTTTGTACCTTTGTCCGCCTAGTTGTTACGCTCCTGATTCGTTTAAATAATTATGTATCCGTGTCATGCAACAAGCGTCGTGTGACCGTGGTATTCGCAGTGGGATTACGGGTTTCGGAGGGTGGGGAGAGAAGATACAGGGGGAGCGAGGGCGAGAGAGGGTGAATAATTCGCGTCAATAAAACGTCACTCCATTCAATTAACGTTTTATACTACCTGCGACGACAGGCATTCTCACGTGGATTTTTTGTGTGTATCGTATGTCACATGATCACCTGGTCAGGTCACGTGACTTTTACTGATCAACATTATAAAACACACTCAGGGCTGTGTGTGTCTTGACAGAATTAACACGCCAACTGTTATATTTTCTGTCTATTTTTAGTTGAGTTGTCTAGCTTTTCATTGGGTTCAACTAAAATTAATAGAGTAGATTCGTCCTAATCCAAACAAGGTTGTACGGTGCACTGTGGTAAAAAGGGTAAAATGACATTTACCCCCCCCCCCCGAACTAAATAGAATTCATATAAAAATATATACTTTTTCCGGTATAAGCCCCCTCCCCTCCGAAAGTTTCAATTACCCCCCCCCCCCCCCCGAGAAAAAGTCTGAAAGAAACACTGTAGTTAATAGGGCAGGTAGGAGTCCACCTCTTGCAATGACGTCAGCATATGAAGGCATAACGTAGTCAGTGCTTATAAGCCCAGTTATAAGCCTTATCTTTTAATAACGTGAATTAGGTACTCAACAAACATGAGTGGACTCAGTAATTTTTTAAATATTTAACCCCAAGTCCTTGCTAATAGAATTTTTTTTTAAAGTATTTATTAGATTCTGTTTTTTACTTTCTCGTATAGATGAAGTAAAGTGATCGTGCTGAATAATTAACAGATAGTTTTACAATTTTAGTCGTTTTACACCCCCCTACTTTATTTGGATTAATTTTCATCGAGGGATGTTTCAATGGAGGCAAGAAACTACGCTATATAAATAAGAATGTGAGTTATTTCCCTTGCACTGACCTACATGCCTATGAATAATACATAAGACGTAAACTAAACATAGCCGGGGTCTTGTGATGGTGACACATACAGACCCAATAAAACATGTGATCAAACTTTGGTCTGCGTGCTGCTGTTTCTAAAGGACATGCCCTATGTAAAGACGTGCCCTACAAGTCTTTGCTCTGTTGATCGCTTGTGTGGCTCAGAAGGTGGGGTAATTATTTTTTTTGAGCTCTTTAGAACTGACGTAAGAACATGTGACGTCAAGTGGGGGGTGCGTCACGTCTCGTGGTATGATAGCACCGAGGTAGATATATATGCAAATACACACAAACACGCACACACACACACACACACATATATATGTATATATATATATATATATATATATATATATATATATATATATATATATATATATATATATATATATATATATATATATATATATATATATATATATATATATATATATATATATATATATATATACTAGCTGCATACGGATGCGCCGCCATGGAATTTCGGAACAGAACAGGGGCAGTACGTGCTCGAGTCGGTAAAGCTCATGGTTGCTAAACAGAAAAATCTCGAGTTCGAACCCTCTGGCAGATGAGGCTCGTTAGCTGGGGACAGCCACTCTTCTAGGAGAGACAACTCCAAAATCAAACAACTGCTGCCTTGTAGTTTGTTCTTGGTTGGAAAAAGGCTATGGAAGCAAAAAGAAAAGCAGGCTGAAATTGGAGTCAATGGCCTCAATGGCGCATAACCAGTTGACACGTATCCTTAATTGTGATGGAGGCGTGGTCGAGTCGGTAACAGCACATGGTTGATAAATTCGAAAAAGTTTCGAGTTCAAACCCTCGCGATCCCTTCCAACACTAAAAATTAAGAACGAAGAAGAAAAGAAGGAACTAAACACAACTAAACACAAACACAAAAGAAAACAAAAGTACAAACAATCGCAAACACAAAAACAAAAGGAAACGCAATCGCAAACAAACACAATGCAAACTCAAACGCAAAAAAACACAAGCGAATACACAAACGCAACACGCAAACACAAACGCTAACGCAAACGCAAACGCAACACACATAACAAAACACAACTGAAATGCAAACATAAACGAATAGTGCTCGCATTCTAGCCCGGGGTGACAAATCGTACCCTTCCCAGGAGCCGGTCGATGCGCTTGATTC